TTATTCGGCTCCGTAACATACGGCAGGACTTCTTCCGCATTGGCACTATCTCCGCCCTCACTTATATGCTTCAGATCCACATACCTCTTCGCAAAAACGCTTGCTCTAGCTTGATCACCATGCATGATAACAACCTGGAAGATATCCCAATACAAGTTCGGCAGTCTATCATCATTGATTCCTTCCTCCTTCATGATATCCAGCAGCTTCTTGCCGTTGGCGAGAACTTTTTCGGGATTGTGGCGCGCCGAGTCCCAGTTTCCGATCTCCTTGTCAAGAGCCTTCGCTTGCGTGATGAGCGCGTCGCTTTTCTTTAACTCGTCGGGAGGCAAAGAACACAAGTTGCACCTGCAATCGAAATGGAAATGCTCTTTTAACGTTGCCTTCCTCTCCTTGGAAGCACCGCCTTCGAGGTAGCTCAACGTAATCTCCTCGCCTTCCGCGATGGGGCTTAACGCATACACCGTCTGCTGTTTGAGCTTCTTGTTCCAGTTGTGTTTTGCATTTGGGCGACAGCTATGGTTTATCCTCGACACATTGAGGAACACGCCTCCAACCTCACTGCCAGGGCCTAATGGGTAGCCATTGCTCCGAATGATATTGCTAAGGATACCTTTCTCGGAAGGGAAGTTGTTGTGTAGAGACAGGAAGCCGCGTTGAGAGTCTCTATCTAAAGAGCGGAGAGCCTTGGCAAGGTCTGTTTCAACGGTAGACATGGAAGTGATACAGTCGGTAGTCAAAAGGGGCGGATCGCTTAATATGAGGGTCCCAGGCTTAATGGGACGGGTAGCGAAGAGAGCCTTTCCTTTCCCAGGGGCAGTATCAAGTTTCCATGTTTGCTCCCTTTCAGACGCATCCTGTGGGCTGTCTGAATATTTTGAGTCTGTACTTTGGGCTGTGCGTGGAGGCCCCATCCTGCCTTTCGAGCTCCAGATACTATAAATTCAATATGGTGGAGGCTGGCACGGAATATGTATGTTGATCTTATCTCAGGGTATCCAATGTCCCGCTTTGTCTTTTGCATTTTTCACTTTTTCCGCTATCTACTCCGAAAAAGGTAAAATAGTCGAGGTGGTGACTTCATATCACGTGATGCACACATTTCGACGAGGGCCGTTCAGAAAGTGTCGCTCCATGAGCCAATGCCAACCTGTTTGAAGCCTCAAGCCTAGATTTCTGGCTTCATGCAGTACATCCGAATCATTTTGATGGCATCCAGGTTCTTTAACCAAGGGTGTGATGTTTAACCATTCAATCGTTGCCAGTGAGTCTTGCTATGAACTTGCTCACACTTACGATTTTACCCAACATCCCTTGATTCGCGTGTGTTCTCTTTTAAAATATGAGCGAGAGCATCTGTACTTAGAACTATTTGTTAGTTTATCACAAATTCAGATTGAGCGATATATAAATATGCAGAGTTGATCGCAATATTGTCTGATCATCGCATCGACCGCGTTATTCCAAATAGTCTTTCATCTTTTCTCTCCGCCAGATATCTCCTTGGATGATATCCCATAATCCCATATCCCTTCGCTATTGATATGCCCCTTTCGACATCGTAAGCGAAGGGGAAGATAAATAATCACGTGAAATATGACGTGATTGGAGCTTGTGCGACCTTATGCCTTTCCATTTAGAAGAGGGTCCTTTTGGGCTCTAAGACTGATGGAAACCTTTTTATAAGATCAAAATACTCAAATCACATTGAGATGGTGCTCTCCTTCCAGTAGTTGGTACTGAAGTCTCGCTAAGAGCATCGGTAGAACCCGCTTGTCAGGGGAAGGCCAGAACATATTACTCGGGTCCCACTATTGACTCATTCATACTCTATGCCCAACTTTTACTTATAAAACCACCCCAAATCTCCCGTTATTTTCAGGAGTACCTCATTGAAGAAGAAGCGAGACAGACTGTAGTTTACTCTCATCATGGCATCGGCATACACTCCTGAGCAGATTGTGGCGTGGGAAGATCATGTCGAGCTTCCCACGCGCTTCCGCAAATCTCAATCACCTGAACTTACAATAGAGTACCTAACCTCGCTTCATGTTCATCAGATTGCGGCAGCGCCATATGAAAATCTGCTTCTGCATTATTCTCCCCACCACTCTGTTTCTCTTGAGTAAGGTCTACCCTTGTTTTGATTATATTTCAAGGAAAATAGCCTCTAAATAGGAGCTTCGAACCAACATATAATTCCACAAAAATTTAGACATGCTTGTGTAGTCTTCATATCGCACATGAGCTGATTAAAATCCAGTCCACAAGTCCTCTTCAAGAAAATCGTTCTCGACAAACGAGGCCGAGGAGGTTACTGCATGGAGAACAGTTTATGCTTTAATCACATTCTCAAAGGTCTTGGGTTTGAAGTCTACGCCGCAGGTGTGCGAATCCGGCCCCGGTATGGTGGCGTGCCGAAAGGCGATTACACTGGATGGTAGTCTTCCTCCCGCATCTCACGCGTCTCCCCACACAAGCTGAACCTGACAGGGTTCACATCGTCAATATCGTCACCCTCCCCGATGGAGAGAAATACATGGTCGACATCGGTTTTGGCGGTGACGGAGCGACAAAGCCTTTACCGCTCGTTCCCAACACGCCCACGCACAACCTCGGGACCCAAGAAATCCAGCTTTCATACTCCAATATCCCTCCCCAAACCACTCGGCGTTCCACGCAGAAATTCTGGATCTACCAATACCGCAACTCCCCCACCGCTCCCTGGAACGACTTCTACGCTTTCGCGGAGTTCGAATTCTTTCCCAACGATTTCGAGGTCATGAACTTCTACACGAGCACGAGCGAGAGCGAAACGAATTTTCAGACCCGAAGGGTGCTTGTGATTCGATTTTTGAGAGAGGGGGAGAGGATTGTGGGGAAGGTCATGCTTGTGGATGGTTTGGTGAAGAGGAACCTCGGGGGCAAGACAGAGACGGTAGTCGAGTGCAAGACAGAAAATGAGAGGGTCAAGGCCTTGGAGGAGCATTTTGCGATTATGTTGACGGAGGAGGAGCGCGACAGTGTTAGAGGTCGAAATGTGGATCTTGGAGGTGGGACGGTGGATTTTCCTAACACGACGCTAGCCTGATGTTTTGGTGTAAATGACCGATTACACTTGTGCGAATTTGGAGATCGAACTTAGTATGTCAAGTTTCGTTTTGAATAGCGCTAGGTAGACTTTTCTTCTTCTAAAAATCTATAGAGTATAGCTTAGAACAATGCACATTTAGAATTATCGAAAGATACCATCCAAGGCGTGCTCTCTATGCCGCTTTATGGCAAGAGACAAATAAGTAAAATACTTCTAACAGGAGAGAAATATCGCGGCTACAACTCCTCAAGAACCTTCCCCAGCTCGATGAGCATGTCACATAACTTCTCCGGCTCCACGGCCTGCGCACTATGCCCGGCCGCAATATCCTTCACGATCCACTGCACGCCCGTTCCCTGCATCATCATATCCTGTACCGCAGGTGGGATCGCCGCATCCTTCAATGTGCGGATATAAGCCAAACTACCCGCGTAATCCTCCTCATCCCACGATGCTCGCGGACTAGGACCCATGAACGACGCAAGGCTGGGACATCGCGTCGACAGAACCATGGCATCTTGGAGGGCTTGCGGCTCTAGGTCACCATAAAGCGGCGGCGCCGGGTCTTCGCAAGTTATGAGATTTCTGGTTTCCTGCAGTCGTGAGTTTTGCGAAACGGAGCAGTTCAAGCGGAGCTGTGGTGAGGATCATACATCGATACTTATGTGCGGGGGCAATTTCCCGCCAAAAGCATCCACCATGCTTGAACCGTCCCCTCCCTTGACCAGCAGACTCGCTAGAAATATCTGGCCGAGCACGCCGTTCTTCCCCTCCTTCGCTCTCGCCTTCTTGCCCAGTCCCGCGGCGGCAGCGGAGCCCGGGATTCCGCTGTAGCTGTGCATGACGAGTATGACATCATGCTGCTCGATGTCCAGGATGGGTAGAATGAGGCTGTTGCGGATATAATCGGCGTCATCTTGCGCCGTAGCGTTAATGCCGCCCATGGATGGGAGGAGCGCGGAGCATGTGGGATGGCCGGCCACTTGAAGGAGGTGCAGGAGGTATGCGTAGTGCGAGGGGTTTTGGGATCCGCCGGGCAGGATGAGGAAGGTGGGGCGCGATGGTGGGCGGGGCATTGCTACAGCTCGCAGTTTGGATCGGGAGGATAGTTGTAAGTGACGGATGTCTTGTCAGCTTTGATTTGGAGATCTACTTGGAAACTTTCATCCTTTTTATATTCTTGACCTCTGATGCGTACGTGAAAGGCGCTGCCACACTCACGGCTAGATTCATTATATTTTCGTAAGCACTTGACTTGTTGTAGATATCTGCTCCTTGACAGATGAACCATCCATGTACAAGCATTGGCCAGTGATTACGAAGAATCACTTGGTACAGATTTTTGGGCTAAAAGAGGCGGAATTAACCCAGATCGTGGCATAAGACAGACGAGAGGTTTTTGAACGAGCTTAAAGATAAGAGATTGTGCCGCATTGGATAGCACAACAGATACAGAATCCATCCTATAAGTGTGTACCAGAGAGACAGACACATGTAAAGCCAGGAGGCATATGTCAACCATCTCCAACTTTGGCTGCGACCAGGGCAAAATTTTAAAGGAAAAACTGATAGAACGATGAGTCTGATACTTATCCATCTCACAAAAGTAATGTTAGTCGATGTTGTACAGCTTCACATCGAAAGGGAAAACTTGGTGATTGGGGATGTTGCTAGCTTACCTAATGTGCAAGGTTCACAACCACAGGACAGGCCGCAAGCCAATTTCAATACCAAGAAAACAAGCGAACAAGGAAAACCCTCTTCCCCCAAAAAAGAGTATTACATACATAGTATTTCGATTCGTTTTTAAACACGCGGTCTCTTTAGTGTTCTCACAATATAGTAGGATAAAGAAAATAAAAATCACCCAAAAAGAAAAAAGACTTAAGCCAAAAATTAAGTTGAACGACACCTGTGTGATTCGAACACACGCTCCCGAAGGAAATGCCTAACAGGCTTGTTTTACAACATAGCAGGGCATCGCGTTAACCTCTCCGCCAAAGTGCCAAATTGCCAAATTGTGATTGCCAGCGCGCATATAATAATTTATAATGTTTAAAAGATTTTCGCCAAGATCGCTTAGCTCATCCCTAGCTTCGATTCCAATGCCTACCATACTTTAACGTGCCTATAATGCCATAGAAGGCATTGTGCATATTTATGCAATTATACAAGGACATAATATAGTCCGGCTAGCGCATTAAATGATTCTCCGTTCACAATAATACTCTTGTATCACGATTTTTTATATGATTCTTTGGGTTCTCCGCAACTGTAGCCGGGTATTCTGGTGTGCCTGTAGCAATACGTTACAACAAGCCCTGCAGTGGACTTTTTGGCCAAATGGTGGTTGGGAGTGACTGTGGGGACTTTCAGCAATCCCACCTTTTGCTATTCACGGCCATTCACCGGTCTTTCTTGCGTTACATCTCTGTCTTCTTCTCCACTGCAACTCGTGTTCACTGTCGTGTTATGGTAATATTGTTTTGCTGTTCATTGATCCATTTTATCCTGTTTTGAAATTTCTAGTCCTTGCTAGTTGTGATCTTTACCATTCACACCTCTCCCGTATCTCCAAGTCATCGCACGTGCACCCTGAGATGGCAAGGTCCTTCAATCACAAAGTCATTGTGGTCACGGGAGCAGCATCTGGTATTGGAAGAGCAACAAGTATCAAGTTATCTCAATTAGGTGCCAACCTTGCGCTATGCGATATTAACCAGGAAGGCCTCATTCAAACACTCAGTCAGCTTGAAAAAGTATATCACACTTTCTCCATTGTTGATGTCGGATCTACAGAAGCAGTGAACAACTTCATTGCGTCCGTAGTCAGGAAGCACGGCCACATCGACCACATCTTCAATTGTGCCGGCGTGAATCCCACCACCATCCCCACAGCCGAGATCACTGACGCCTACTGGGACAAGCTCATCAACACCAACCTAAAAGGCACGTTCAACATTACCCGAGCCTGCATCCCTCATCTCCAATCCGGCTCTTCGTTCGTGAATGTCTCATCAACCTGTGGCCTTCAGCCCAATGCCAAGTTTCCTGTATATTGCGCGACCAAGTATGCAGTGATTGGCTTCTCGAAATCTATTGCGCTGGAGCTTGGTCCAAAGGGCATCAGGACGAATATCTTAGCGCCGGGATATATCGACACCCCAACCAACGCTTCAGTGGTGGAGGGCCCGGAGAGTGTGGCAAGGGCGGCGGACGGAGTTAGCTTAGGTAGGGTTGGGACGCCGGAGGAGATTGCTGATGTTGTTGCTTTCTTGTTTAGCGAGGACAGTCGGTATATGAACGGAAGCGTGGTTGAGGTATCTGGGGGCTTGATATAATGGTCAAATGATGAGAATCGGTTCTGCCAAGAGACTCATTTTCAAACCTTCTTGTCTGTTCTGTTTCAAAGCCCGGATACCTTCATACCAATCCTGCTCCAGATCTTTCTTGTTCTACTATCTCAGCACAGCAATGCCTTCCTTGTAAGGGTGTCACCAGCCAATCAGTCGAGCAATAGGACGAAACAATACGGGTAGTCGTTCGGGCCATCCACCCCCTTTTTCCTTACTACTTTACAAAAAGAAAGTGGATGACCCGGAGGACTAATTGCCGCCAGCAATGACGAGAAAATAGATTAATACGTAAACCAGGCAGAGATTCCCTAAAGGAACCTGCTCGGGTCAAACATAGCCGAGCCTATGGTGAAAACTGATTGCGCTTGTGCAGGGAAAAGTTGACCAGCGAGACGTGGTGAGTATTACAGGCATTTGGGCCATGGACAGCGACTATTATAATAAACCCCAATCTGGAGCAACCATAAACACAATCCCCTTTACATAATTTCTTTGGAAAAGCTTGCAGAGATTGGGACCTAATGCCCAGTCGCAAACTCTTTACCTCGATACTTCCCAAAAAACCAAGCAAGTGATCAATTCTTTGCTCATCAATTCGAGGACTAGCGTTTATGATGCATCTGAAAATGACCGCGATATCATTTCTGAGGATGCGAACGCGTTTGCTCTACTGGCTGGGCTTCCCGATTCTACTGAGCAACACTCTTCAATCCTTGGAAGGCTGCGCCAGGTATACTCTCCTGCGGGCTGTCTGTCTGTCCTTCGATGCAGATTTGGGCAACATAAGAACCCCGGTAGTCTCTCCCACTGTGAATTGCTGGCATGCAGAGGGTGCAATTCAAACGCCAGACCATTTCAAAGACGCACTAGAGATCTGGAGTCCCTGCTGGGCCCCATGGTTGATGTCACCACGGACTTCTACTCAGGAGCACGTTGGGAGTCCTCAACCCCCAAGGTAAACCTCGTATGGGCCGCTTTTGCTCGCTGGCGTATCCATTCCCAACCCTGCCGGTCTACCAGCTTAGCAAGCCGCGCTAGTGATATTTCCGGAACAGATTGGTTGGAATTTTGTTTACAATGCGGCCTCCGTGGGACCTCCCCATCTATCTTGATTACGCTAAGGAACGAGTCCCAACTAGTGGCGCTATATCTGTATATTAGACTAAGATTACCGGTCCTGAGGGCTTCAAGTTTAGCTGGAACTCTCTGCTCCGCTTGGGACGAAGGCTATTATAAAAATTTCCCTATCATATGCGGAATGATGCCCAAGTATCAGAGAGGAGATGGCATTTCGGAAAGTGGAGTCGATTGTGAGGGGTGTTACAACTGTGGAAATGGTAACCTTGTACAACAAGCGTGAACATCTTGCACCTAGCCAACACTGAATACTTACGAAGCCTCAACTACCCACTGTGTTCAATAGCTTACTGTGAAAGGTAACTGGTTCGTTACGATGCCACGGTCGAATCGCTGCAAGGAAACGTGATTAATTTTCCAAAGTGAAACTTGAAACCTGTTGGTTAATGGTAACGCGCTTTGATCGCCTATGTGTTATAGCCTTGTGGTAGAATCGAAAGTGTACGGGTAGACAGCAGCCTAGAGAGAGGGTCGAAGATAAGAGTAGGATAGGGTCGATCAGATGGGCCATCTGCTTTATATATATACAACTAACTCTTAAGAGATAGAGAAAGCTCACTTCCAGGCGCCAAGTCATGCTTGGGAATATCGACGGTATCGAGGGGTACGGACAACAGAGGAAAACAGGGGCTATCGGGGGCATAGGCGAAGACAAGAATGGGGAAACTCGACATGGCTAAAGCACAGGGTGTGCCCAGAGGATATGAAGACAATAGTCAGAGCCTATGGCCGGGTTGTCGACAGCCTCAACACCAACCTAAACCCTTTTAATCAGTATCCATGCCCAGACGGCCCCCTTGAGTTGATAAATTCCGGACCAACAGTGTACGGAAAACAGGCACTAGATCCTAGCATGCCTCAGTGAAGGTGCATCGCTCTTAATTGACCAACTCGATGCGAGTAGTAAACTTCTATAAGTTGTCTGCAGAGCAGTATAAACACTCTCGCCCAAGCACTTCATCACATGGATAAGACCAGAGGGCCACCAGAGAGCGCGATTGCCTGCCACAAACTCGAGTCTACACCATCTCAGACCAGGATGATTCGGGACTCTGGATTCGCCTCACCTACCTGAACGCTTTTTGTTTCTGCTCCATACGCAGCTGGAATCAATACACCTTGGCCACCTGGTTCGGTATCTCCGGTGATGCAGTCTTTAACAGCGACCCCGGCGGCCCAGATCCCACCAAAGTCACAAAAGAGTAGGCAAGAGCAAATATTCAGCATGGCGCCTTTGGCCAAGTGTACCCTGACCCAGACTTTATTCTCGAAGGCGACACGCCAGCCTTCCTTTATTTAATCCAAAAATGGCCTTGGATCCTCTGAGCATCCAGAATATAGCAGCTGGGGTGGCCGATATAACGCCATCGACTTCCCTCCGTCAGGGCGCCATTATTCGGACGCCTTTGATCGAGTAATCGGAATGGATGGCCGAGCTCGGTATTCTAACCACGCTACAATCTAGCGCTGGTGAGACGCTTACCAGAACGATTTTGCTGCTCGTATGAGGTGGACATCGCCAATGACGGACTAAACCATGCCCCAGTTGTGGTTGTTAATGATAGCACACCTGGTCCTGAACTCCTCAAACTAGAAACCGAAGCCGGCGATGAAGCTACGCTTGATGCATCTCGATCCTGTGATCCGGATGGCGATGAGCTGGCCTTTAACTAGTTCAATACAAGGAGCCCACTGCTGCTTCTAAGGGGCTGATAGATATTGCAGTGCCTAATATCGACATCCGGAACGCCGACGGCGAGACATCAGGAAGGCAAGTCAAGATCCAGCTTCCACCGCCAGAAAAATGTGCTATCGATTTCATTAGCGGCAAGCCAGCGGAACTCGGCCAGGCTTATCGTTTTATTTTTGGGGTCAAAGATAACGGAACCCCGAGTTTGACGACCTATAAACGCCTTATTACCCAGATCACAAATCGTGATCTAAGGGGCAGGAGAGAGCACGCAGTGCCAAGGTTCATGGACTATTTGGCACTAGTGGTTTGAGCTATGAGGATATAAATGCGTTGCCACGCCTTTGGAGTTGATTCAGCTTTTATAAATTACCATCATATCTTGTCAGTCTAATTGCTCGCCTGTAGTTTACATGACGGGTCATTAGCATAGAAACAACCACTCCTTGCTCAATATTTGTCCACTTTGCATAAATATCAACAAATGTTGAGCGCTGATGATCCAAGTGAGTGAGTGAGACATGGTTTGTGCTTAAAAATTCGAGTCTTCATCGCAAAATGCATATGTAAATGTGTAATATATCAAGTTAAATATCACGTGATATTACGGAGTCTAAAAGATGGGAAACAGGGTGCTGACCCCGTTGGCCTGAAATCTTAATATCATCAAATTATACATCTTGAAATAAGTTGACATCTACAGTGATAGGGACAGAAACCAAAGGTCGAAGCGAGATCAATGATGCTCGAGCAGGTATTGGCGCTTGAGCCTTTTGCTGGTATGGCCTCCCATTGTCAAGAGCTACTACACGCCTTCATTTTCA